GAAGCAGACCATTTGTTACTGCTGGTGTTGGCAGAGAGCTGCAGGCTTGTTTTTATGCAGCTTAGACCACTCGTGACAGCTTTGCATTAACTTAAAAAAAGACAATAAGCTGCATAGCAAAATAGCAAAATTAAATTTATTTTAAAACGTTAACAAAATCACTCTCAATACCCTTCCAAGAAGCACACAACAGACTTTCCTTAGCCTCATTTTAATGTGACAAAAGAGACAAAGAAAGAAAATTAGTTAGTTAGTCCCAGTCCCATGACAGATTCATGGGACAGTCACCACCAGGACTTCAGAGCCTCCTGATTGCCAGTGCACCTCTCCCTCCCCAGCCCATCTAGGCCTTCTGGCTGTGACAAAACTAGCAGCTGCTTGCAAAAAACAAGCTGAAGGACAGAGATAACAGCACCTGAATGCTACATAAACATCAGGATTGTGGTAGCTCTCTAATAATATAAACCAATTATGTTCTTCTGGCTCTGGTTTCCATCTTAAAAAGGATTAGTCATAGGGTTATGCAGAATAAGGGAATTAGCCTTTCACCTCTGAAAAATGTAAGTTCAAATATTAGTTGAGGTCATGAATGAAAATCAGTTTCTTCCACTCCAGCTTGTGGTTATATATTAGGAAATCACAACACAAATTGGCAGAACAGTCCCAGGAGAGGAATAGCAACAGTAGCTTGCGCTATACACAGAGTGTGTGTGTACATATATTGTATACAAAGTACATATATACATATAACCACTTACACTACAGAATGGGGAAGGTGGAATAAGAGAGCATGTTTAGAGATAGGATGGCTTTGAAATGTTTTGAAATCCGACACTGAGTCCTAATCAAGAGATCTGACGTGGAGCTTTAGTCCTGGGATAACCCTTGGAATAATCTTCCCCAAGCAATCTTCCCCTTTAATCACCTCACACTGCAATACCTAGTCTAAGCTAGTCCTCAAAGCTCCTCTTCAATTTCAGCAGAAAGACATGCACAAGGTTATCTATTCCACCTACTTCCCACACCCATCCAATGATTACAGGACAATGAATGTTTACAACTCTTGGGTAGCTGATCTCGATTTCTCTCTCTCTCTTAGGCTGAGATATACTCAACCTAAATCCCTTCCCACGCCACATCTCTGTTTTGTCCAATCTATTGATTAAAGATTCAAAAATGGGTGACTCCTTTCACTGAAAATTCACAGCAAAATTATCCTCTTATGCACCATAGAAATTCAGTGTGACTAAAACATCAATAAATTATTGGGACTGGGATGGCAGATCTCACTTTATGGGCAATTTCCAGCAGGTAAAAAGGGGTTGGAAAATTATGGACAACAAAATAACCTTCCTCTAACTAAGGCTTTGATTTCTACATTAAAAGTATTAACATTGCATGGAAAAGATGAAACCCAGACAGAAAATGTTAATAAGTGAATCTTCTGTTCCTACAGAACAGACCCTTCTTGATCAGAGAAGATACACTCTTTTTGTACAGGCTCATGACACCAGTGGACAAGAACACAGACTTTCATTTAAACAGTAGGCTCAAGTTGACTTGAAATTATAGACACATATTAAAAAACCCAAATTGTATAGAAATGAAAGAGGTATAAAAGGTATAAGACTGCAGCCCCTGCCATGGTGTGCACAGTGAGAACACTCAACTCAAACTGAGATAGTTAAAAGTAGGAACACTATTTAGAAACTGCATTTTAGCTCTAAGTGTCCCTTGATTATGTAGAAATGTGTGCTGAAATAACAAACATAGAGGAGACATAATTTCTTCTTCAGTGGAATACATGAAATTCAAGAGATTTTGCCAAAGGGATCCTCTGTTCTGAAATTTCATTTGTGCTTATGAAAAGTTTTGACTTCTGTGACCAGTTACAGATTCAGAAACTCAAATCAACAAATCACAGAGAACGAAGTGCTTGAATGTATCTCCAGGAAGCAGGCATTTGTCTTCAGAACAAACAGAAAAAAAAAAAAGAAAAAAAAAGAAAAAAAAGACAAAAGAATTTAGCCTCAGGCAGCAGAGCGATGCATGGAATATTTGATTGCTCCACCATTCAGGCAATTCCTTGTCTTATCCTGCAAAACAAATAGAGCTTGCCTTTAGTAAACTTCAGATTGATTTCAAAAAGAAACACAAGACATGGTTAATTTTCCTAGACATAGAAGAAAATTTCCCTAAAATTAAAAATATAAAGGCCTTAACAATCTAACTGTGAAGGATATATCTCTTCCTTTGAGATGGAGAGCTTTCTGCAACAATGAGTTATTTCATAGCAACTGCAACAATCAATAGGCTTAAACACCTATTTCACTTCCAAAGAGAATTTGCTTAATCGGAAATAAGGCTACTAAAAAGCTGAGTAAGATCATCCACAGATTGTTTAATGCATCTTAATCATTTTACAAAGCAAATAAGATTAACATTTATCATTTATCCTTTGACAGACAACACTAAATAATAATTCCAATCTGTGTTACTGATACTAATGAAGAGAGTGGAAATTCAGAGCAGATAAAGAACATGCTCTTTACAGGTTGCTGAGGCAGGAAAGATACCAGTTTTATTCCTACCTGCTTGTTTATCTGCTGTCCAATGCCAGTGCATCCACAAAAGTCAGACTCTTGTTCCAAAGCCAGAACGCTCGCTCTGTTTCACATTTTGTGGCAGGCTCATACTTCAGGCCAAGCTCAGGCCATAGCTTTCTAAATTTTCTCTAAATCACTTGGTACACTTTTGGGAGTTATTAAATGAAGTGAGCAATGATACATAACAATTGTGTGTGACAGGGAGAAATACACTGTTCCTCTTGTGGGGACAAACTGCAAACCTGGATAATGCCAGGAGCAAAGCCTACCTTGAAAAGCCACATTTATGCTCAGGGGCAGTTTAAGCTTTTGACAAACAGTTAAAGATAAATCCTGTAGTAATGACAGACAACAAAATGGTACAGTTCTCCTGAAAGCACTTACACAGATTCTGGAAAGATGCCCAGAAAGAGCATCAGGCATGAAAATAAATGATAATATGTGTAAGTTTCCCATAACAAGTCCATAAGTCTAGAGTAGTACATAGATAATGGGCAGTGAGAATAACATCTTTCTGAAAGGGGAAATTGGAACAGGGGCAGATAAAGGGAAACACTGAAACTCAAAAGTTATTCTTAAACTATTCTTACAGATCATTGTTCATTAGTGAAAAATCCTCCTTTGCACTGATGAATACAGAAAATAGGCATTTCCTTGGATCAGCTACCTTTTCAACTTCTGGAGAAAGAAAAAGGAAAATCAAGTGAACTTTCACTTCTATCAAGAATAAGCCTGTCCTGTCAAGTTGCAGTTATTACTTTCCTATGTCAGAACTGCAAAATAACTATTTAGGAGTGATAATTCTCAGAAGAAAGTTCTTCTTTGGTCCAAGCCATGAAGCTGTGATAACTGCAGCTGTAGTTTGGAAAAGACCATGGTGCCTACATATTGCCTATATTAAACAAAAAGCATCGGTAGTAGGGTTGTTTTCTTTTTTTTTAATCAGTGTAAATAAGACTGGCACAAAAATCCACATGCACGATTCTATGTTCTTCACTCCAACCAGGACTACTTCTGTTTATCTAGGATTTTAAAATGAAGAATAAACTATTTCTAAAAAAAAAAAAAAAAAAAAAAAAAAAAAAAAAAAAAAAAAAAAAAAAAAAAACAACCACCACAAAGTAATCTTTAGCATTTTGATTACTCCAGTGCACGTTACGCCTCAAAGAAGCAATGAGCCACAGTAAGTTATTTACCGTTAGAAAAGACAGAAACTTGTCCTGTTTTTCTAAACTAACACCACAAGGCAGGTTACCACAGGATCTAATTCTTGAAAAACTGAGGGACACACCTTCCTGTGAAAGCAGGACAACGATACAGCGTGACCTGGATGGCCTGAAAACGAGAAGTAGGGCACAAACCCATCCCGAGTTACGTCTGCTGAGAGCAGCCCTAATTGCCGGCCCCCGCGGTGCGAGCGCGGTGTCACAGGGCCAGCGGCACGTGGCGGCCGTGCCACCCGCGGCCAGGCACGGCGACAGGCGGGCCGTGCCCTCCTCTGCCGCACGCGTCCCGCTTATTTACTTCGCGCAAGTGAGCACATGGCAGCTGTCACTTTGAGGGGCCCAAAGGAAACGTTTCAAGCGCAATTGCAGAGTGAAGCCCGTCGGCGCCCTTCTGTCTGCCCTGCAGCTTGGAAGGAAAATCCCGCGAAACGCGCCCTGCTCCCGAAGCCGACATCGGCGCTGGCACGTCCGGTCCGAGGCGCTCGCAGTTACCGCCGCACGGGCGCTGCCCTCAGTCTCGACCTGACCGCTGTGTTCAAACGCGAGGCACAAGGCCACGGCCAAGGCAGGGTACGACCCCCTCAGATCTGCTGCCAGGCCGGCGGGAGGAGCGTGCCAGGAACACTCGTCTGGGGCACCGTGTGCCTGGCGGCGAGAGAGGCGGGGGGAGCGCTGGCCTTGCGCTGCCGGGAACACCGCGGTCCGAGCCGCGGGGCAGGAAAAAACAAACAAAACAACTCCCCAGAACCAAAACACAAACAAGCGCTCTCCCGGCGGCGGACGTTCGCGGCTGAGCCCTGAGGCAGGAGCAGTGCTTTGGGACAGGGCTTCTCCGCCGCCCCATCCTGTTCTCGCGGCTCTCCGGCCACGCAAGCTGTCACCGGGAATGGCCAAGCGCGGCTGTGCCCGCTACCCGCGGATGCTGCCGCTGCCCCCGCCCCGGCTGCCCCCGCCCCGGCCGCTCCCGCCGACCGCCGCCGCCTCCTCCCTCCCTCCCTCCCTCGGCAGGCGGGGCTGGACCCGCCCCCGGGCTTCCCCCACCGCCCGGCAAGGGGAGGGGGCTCTGGCACCGCCCCATCCCCGCCCCTCCCGGTGGAGCAGCGCCCGGCGCGCCCCTTAAAGCCGTTCCCGCCCGCCCGCGCGGTCAGTCCGCGGGGCCGCCGCCGGTCACCGCGGGGAGGCGCCGGGACGGGGTGGCCGCGATGCTGGAGAACGGCTCCCTGAGGAACTGCTGTGACCCGGGCGGGCGCGGCCGCCTCGGCTTGGCGGAACGGGAGGCGGCGGCGGCGGGAGCCCCGCGGCCCGCCTGGGTAGTGCCGGTGCTGTCCAGCGTGCTGATCTTCACCACCGTGGTGGACATCCTGGGCAACCTGCTGGTCATCCTCTCCGTCTTCAAGAACCGCAAGCTTCGGAACTCAGGTAAGGGCTTGACTCCCGCACTCTGCCCCGGCGGTGGCAGGGAGCAGCGAGCGCCCGAGTCCCGCCGCTATCCTGGTGCTGGCTTTCACCTGACCTGAAGAGTCCAGCCCGCTTGTCGAGTCCGCTGAAGGCGGGGGACCAGAGCCCCGATCCATTGGTTCTTGCCCTGTAGTGTGTGCAGGGACCCCCAGGCGCTCAGTCACCCTTCCCAGCGCTCCCCTCGGGCTCCGTCCTGCCCTCTGTCCGGGAACGCATGTCGTTCCGTGGTTCCTAATGAGGCATTATGTGGTCTTTATGGAGCTCCCGAAGAGGGGAATCGGTGCCATCCGGCGGCAAAAAGCGTGCCCAAAGCCGTCGGAGGAGTGAAGGAGGAGCTTTTAAAACTTGCTCAAGAGTCCTAAAAAACACGGTGCCGTGCATGCGTGGGGAAGCGGCTCAGCCCGCTCTCTGGAGCCCGCGTCAGAGTTCACGGTAATCTTCACGAAATCGCCTTCTTGTCTCCTCATCGCGTATCCCTCAACCAGAACGCAACAAATAAAGTGCGGTGTTGTCTTTGAATGGTGTCTACAGTTTCTCTTTGTGTGTGCTAGAATGTTGCTCTGCGTTTTTTACTTGCTAAACGTACTGGCTTTATCTCCTCATCTCTGCCGGGTTGGTTACAACGTGTTTCAAACTACAGAACTCTGTAGCTTCTCACCAGCTTCTCTGATTTGCCTCCTGGCCCTGATTCACGCACGTCCCGCTGCGTGCGGATCCTACAGCTCCTCCGGCTCCCCCGGTCGATGGAGCCGATTATTCCCTGACAAGCAGGGCTGGGCACTCGGCTGGATGCTGGGTGTCGGTGCAGTGTAAAGTGCTACCCCCGAAATTGTGGTATATCTACTATAGTTCTTACAGTACTTAGCTGTTCCCGGAACTCGTCATTCCTCCGAGACTCGAGTTCCCTCGTTTTCCATGCGCACGCAGGTCGGGGTAACCAAACTTTGCTGGGAGCTGGCAGGAGTCCGAAGCGCTGCGCTCCCCTCGCTCGGAGCCAGAGGGTTCTGCCATCGATCCTCTGTGTCAGCGGGTGCTCCCTTGCCACCGGGAAGGAGGGAGAGCTGCTGGTTTGTTTCTCCTGCGGGTGGTGGGGGTGTTGGTTTGGGGTTTTTTTAACCAGTGTCTCTTCCCAAGCGCTGTCGTGTCTCACGTGCGGTGACTAGAGCTCCTGCTAACGGGGAGCAGGCGCTCGCTCGCCCTTGCTTTAAGTTAAATCGTACTTAGGGGCAAAAGCAGTTTAAGGAGGGGTAACTCTTGCGCTCCCCAGTCGCTGCACGTCTAGCTGCAGGCGGGAGATGCCGGCAGGTCCCGTTTGCACGGGGCTGAGAGATCACACCCTCCGAGCAGCACCGAACTTGAGAACGTCTGGAAGGGTGGTTTGACTGAGCGAGGGAAGACACGGGGTAGCCGCTGCTAGTCCGTGAGCTTGTGCTTGGGCTATCCGTCCCAGGGGACCGAGCCGAGAGAAGCAGAACCGTACCGGGGCCGGTAGTGCCGGCACGTCCCGGAGCCGGAGCCCTGCGTGCCCCGAGCGGGACCGTGCCCCGAGCAGCGCCGGGCTCTGCCCCGGGTCGGGCTGGGCTGGGCCGGGCCGGTCCGGGCTGGGCCGGGCTGGGCGCTGCCGCGGGGCAGTGAGTCCCGCGGGACCCGCCGTGACTCACCGGCGCTCTCCCGGCCCCCTCGGCGCCGGAGGAAGGCGAGTCCCCGAAGGATTCGCGCCTGGACTCCGGGGGGAGGAAGCGCCCAGGGAACAGGCTCTCGCTGGAGGGGGCGGCCGGCCCGAGGCATCAGATCCCGTCCGGGGGAAGGAAGAGAGGGACTCTCTTCTAAAATATTCCCCTTAACCAGACAACAGCAAAGGGAAGTTTGGAAGGGAAGAGAGTGATGCCCGGAAGAGTAAGTTTCAAGATACTGATCAAACTACTCTGTGGCACCCTGGGGCTGTTGGGGAAAAAACAACCCCCAAAACCAAAAAAAAAACCCAAAAAAACCGAAGCAACCCCCCCCCTTCCCCCCCCCCCCCAACCACCAAAAAACAAAACAAAAAACCCCCCAAACCTAGTCGTCTTACCTAGTTCAAATACCTGCTAATTGATCTCCTTCTAGGATAATCCTTCATGTGATGCCGCTGACCCTGTCCCAAAGATCTCTTTAGCTTTGATAAGTACAGTGAAAAACAGCAGGGAATTCTGTCTGCATAATCTTCATAGGGTTAAATACCTTTTAAATTGCCAGTTCTTAGTTTTGCATCAGGCAGACGTGACTCTTGGAGGTGAAACTGAAAGGGCATAGTTTGGTAAATGTCTACAGAAGTCTTTTCAGGAAAAATTTCTTAGGGAGGAAGAGTGGAAGAGGACTGGAAACTGATGTGGGTGGAGTGATAGAGGGGCTGGGAAAGTGGCAGACAGCTAAGGCAGTACTTGGGAGCCCTTAGCCTCTGACAAAGAAAGATGGAAAAGCAGGTGGACTTGCAGGTTTCTATTCTGAGCAAACAAGAAACGACGTGTTTGTACCTGCAAGGGGGGTGAATGCAGTAGAAAGTGAAATGGTGAGGAAAAACAGCATGAAAGGAGTTAGACCTTGTCAGAGAAGGAAAAGATGAAGTTAGGGGAATGGTTATGACAGGAAGACATCTAGATGATCAAAGGAAAAAGGAAGAGCTATACATCATGAGCACTCGGTTCCCCTTAAAGAAGTTAGTGAGAGATTTTTCTTGGATGAGACTTTGGGACTTCAAATAAGTCACAGGTGTACAAGGAATAAATTAACCAGCTTTGCCTACTTCTGTGGCACAAGAAGTAATCATACCTTCAGAAAGCAATACAGGTCTTTAGCAGTTTTTCCAGGATTTATCAACACTATTCTGTTCTAGATTTCACAGAGAGATCTGATAACTGGAAACAATGTAGTTATGCATCACTGTCCTTAAAGCATGACCAAAAGTAAATCTATTCTAATGCTGTTATATAATGGTAGGTGCAAGAATGGAGTGAAATAAAATGACCTATTAGCCATTGGTCTTGAAGCCTATTATGTTCAGCAGGAGAGAAATAAAGAATAGATAGGATTGGTGTTTCTGGACATTGCTCATTCACTTCTCAAACATGGGAATTTTGCCAGCCTTACAACAGAATGATTGTTTCAGATCACACAGAAGCCTCTTTCCCACATTTAAATTTGGTTTTGGGGAAAATCTGTGAAGACTCTTCCAAGTAATGCATAGCATAATTGGTATGAATCAACATGCTTGTCTTACATAACTGCACCCAGTCTTTCTGTGAGAGGCTGAGCAACTTCTGATCTCTGAAAGTGATTTAATTTACAGAAATTAATGCTTTTATCAGTTCTAATTTGGGAAGAGAGCAATTTCATCTAACACACTGCAAAATTAAATAAAACTTTTTATGTGGAAATAATAAAATTAAATCAGCTTGCCTTTCTATTTGAAATGTCAAATGTGTTCTGAATTTTCAAAAACAATTATTGATTTTGTGTGTCTTCAATTAAATATGCCCAGTTGATGGCAGCTTTTACATTGCTGAACTTTTGAAGTGTTAAAATTTACATGAGCTCAACAACCAGTGTTGGATGATCAAGTATCCTGAAGGTGCATCAAGTAAATCAAAGCCACTAGATGCTTTTAAGAATTTTAAAGTTACTTTTGTACAGCTGTAGCTATAAACGTAGCATTGTAGGCTGGGGTAAGAACCTGGTAGGAAGCACTCTAGAAGGTGGGAACCAGCAAGGCATCTCCCAGAGGACAGAGATAAAGCAAACCATTTATACTTCATTGGCCCTAAAGCCAGCATGAAATCAGTGAGAAGTGAGAATTAGGCACATTAACTCAATATCATTTCAAATAGTAATGAGGGCTTGGGACCCTTTGACTTTTGGCAGAATATTAATATTAACTTTGGTACATTGCCAAATAATGCATTAGTGGAAAGTGGTATTTTTAGTGCATTTTGTCAGCCCTCCTCACCCTCTCCGCTATTTTCCTTTCTATATATATCAGCTAACACAGCACAGTGAGACTCCGATTTCCATTTGAATATCAAGGTGCTGTTGCAACACAAATTAAATCAAAACTCATGTTTCTTTTACCTGTAAGAGCATGGGTGAATTCGCGTGTTTAGTTCTGTCTAACGTGTATGTGGCTCTAGAGATGGACAATGCTTCTCATATGTACATCTGTACAAAATAAATAATCCTGCATGTAGAATTTTAATATTGATACTTATCCATCTACTAAATAAACTTGTTCAGCAATATAAGCAAGTCTTGTAGTATTTTCTCATGCTCTTTCCCTTTCCATAGCCTTCGCTCCACATCTCTGTGATATAGCTGGAGGTAAGTTATCCCCACTGTTAAATGCTATTTTCAGTTATTCTTCATCTCTTTGGCCACATCAGTTCTCTTTCCCTCCTTTATTCCCCTGCTATTATTTTTCCTGTCACTGGAATACAGGACACTTGTTTCCTGTGATGGAATCCATCTCTTACAAAACAACAGTGGAGAAACCTGTTTCTGAAAACACTTGGAAAAATTGTCCTTTAATACCAGCAGTGACGCTGACAAGAACATATTTTGATGGGCAAATCATGAGATCCCATCTGATGGTTTCAGCTTTTGAACTCCTTACTCTTTGAACCCTGGATCCACAGAATTCTTAGCTCCGGGACTGGGTGTGTTTGGCTTTCATATTCTCTCTCACATTCAGCTTAAAGGTGCCCAATGCTAAGAAATTGATGGTAACGTAGCTTCAACAGTCACAAAAGTTCATTGAACCCAACACTTAGAATAATGGTCTTCTATCTCTTACCATGACTCAAACTCATTTTTACTTTATTTTACCTTTGTGATTATCAGTTGCTTACTTAGAGTGGATATCTTTATTTGTAGAATTACAATTATCATTTAATTTGAGTGGATTGTTTCTCCACCTGTTGAGAACTTTTCTG